ATTGCGAATTGCGCGTATGGCCATGATAAGTGCTGAATGAACGACAGGATTTCTGCTGTAACATGGTAAATAAGGGTGACATCTAGTGGAGAAGACTAATGATAAGATTCACGTTAATCAGATCTTGTTTTAAATGTGTGCTGAAATAAATACTGGAAAAGATCGATATCGAGAATCGATATCGAATCGACATCATTTAAAAAAACAATTAATCGGAAAATCAAATTTTTTTTGCCCAGCCCTAGTATAATGTTAGTTGGTTAACTTAATTTATCAAATAGATACAGTCAAACCAAAATGTATTCAGACACCTTCAACATTTCTCACATTATCACAGTTTATTCACTATAGTTTAGAACATGGTAATAAAATGACAAAAACTCAGAGTTAAACTGTGTCAGAACAAATTCAGCTTGATAATGTTAGATAACTTTGACAGAAAGGTATGTAATGGATTACAATCAGAAATCAACCAAAAATTATTCAGACAGCTGTTAGTATGACAGTATTTACACAACTATCAATACTTATGCCGAGTTCACAAGACCAAGATACAGGGCAGAGGGAAGTTCGGGGAGGTGTTATAGACCAGAATATCAGTATTTTAATAGATATATGAACAATTATATCATACAGAAACAAGCACAAACATTTACTTGACCAGCCACAACATCAGCATAACATTTACTGCAAAATTATTTACCTCCAACTCTCTTTGCAGAACACCCAATCCCTGTTCCCTGCATCTCCCTCCTGCATAATCCGTTTTTCTTTTTCTCCTTGTAGCTGGAAATCAGCTCACAGGCAATTTGCGGGCCATATATATATACACATTTTTAATAATTACAGTCTTGCTCGCGATAACTCCGGTCTGACGCATGCGGGATCTTGCGTTATTTCCTTATCACTTCTCACGTGTGTTTTGTTGTGAAACGTAGTTTGCAGACCAGACAGAGCTGTCTGTGATTCTTCCTATTGTGAAGTCATGCAGTGTGAAACCCCCTGTCGCTGATCCATCATGCAATGTGAACACAGCAGCAATTGAATGCTACCCCAGATAGTCACGCAGTGTGAAAACAACGGCGATCCAATGAGTTTGAAAATCGTGCAATGTGAACTCGGCATTAGTCGGGCAGCCCTTAGAATTAATGACAGCCTGTAGTCACCTGGGCATGCTGTCACCCAGCTTCATGCATTCCCAGACTCGGTCTGAATAATTTTTGGTCCCAAATTTGTATCAGTTTAACTGGTAGTCCACTGTATGAAGAATTTTTGGGTATAATTTGTCACATTTTACTTTATTTTGTGTTTTTTGAAAACCAACGTCACTGCACCCGTTTACCAATAAATATTGGAGCACTTCATGCTTTCTTCTGCTGACCAGCTTTTTGAAGTTGCTGATTTAATTTTCCAGCAGGATTTGGCACCTGCCCACACTGCCAAAAGCACCAAAAGTTGGTTAAATGACCATGGTGTTGCTGTGCTTGACTGGCCAGCAAACTCACCAGACCTGAACCCCATAGAGAATCTATGGGGTATTGTCAAGAGGAAAATGAGAAACAAGAGACCAAAAAATGCAGATGAGCTGAAGGCCACTGTCAAAGAAACCTGGGCTTCCATACAACCTCAGCAGTGCCACAAACTGATCACCTCCATGCCACGCCGAATTGAGGCAGTAATTAAAGCAACCTACCAAGTATTGAGTACATGTACAGTAAATGAACATACTTTCCAGAAGGCCAACAATTCACTAAAAATGTTTTTTTTATTGGTCTTATGAAGTATTCTAATTTGTTGAGATAGTGAATTGGTGGGTTTTTGTTAAATGTGAGCCAAAATCATCACAATTAAAAGAACCAAAGACTTAAACTACTTCAGTCTGTGTGCATTGAATTTATTTAATACACGAGTTTCACAATTTGAGTTGAATTACTGAAATAAATGAACTTTTCCATGACATTCTAATTTATTGAGATGCACCTGTATGTACATCATCTTTAATTTAATAGCATTAGAGCTGCTCCATTGCAGCGGCTTAGTACTTTACAGCGCTTTTGCTGTAATAATGCAGGGAACCACTCGTTAAAAATCTCCTAACTGTGATATTTTCAGAAAGAGAAGTCACTTAGATTCGAAGATTTTTTCATCTGAAACGTGCTGCGAGTTTTAACACTAAAGCAAGCAAAACACGTGCAACGCATGCAAGTATTTGTACTGGCGCAGAATGAGAGGAACAAGTAGCACAGCCTAGCGCATTTCACACAGGCTGTTCGCCAGAAAGTCGTGTATGCCTACGGTTGAAAATAAATTATGTTTATAGTGAATGGTCTTATTTTTACGATTTAGTTTTAATCCAAATGATGCGTGTGCTCAGTGACTGAACATCGAAGATCGCACAACAGAAGTGTGTGTAACTTGTGCATTGTTTTACTTACTTGTTTTTGACGTATCTGACCGAACTACAAACTTTCCAGTGATGTCTGTGAGAAAGGTATATTTACTCGACAAGCTCGCGCATGTGCGCCGCCGCACGCTCAATCCACTCCGCATGCTTTGCTCATCAGCTCACGCTCATCAGCTATACAGGCGTTAATACTGAATGCTTAACATTATATTCATTGCATACATATACTTTGTAGACATCCTTAATCTCTAATAACGCCATTCTGCTGTCTGTTGTTGGTGTTTCTTTGTCTGAATATGGCACTTTTCACATGCTGTGTGGTATCGGCGTTTGGTATCGGGGCATTTTAACGAGTACAGGAGCTCAGTATCGGGCCCGATGTGCATCCCTAAAAACAAATGCATATAGTATGCTCCCCACCTGCCTGCTTTGCAACACTGTTTTGTTGTTTTATGAATGAATCTATATAAAGGCACCAAAGTCTCCTCCTGATTAAAGAGGCATCCATCCTTGAATCAGATTAAAACAAAGTTTTCAAAAACATGTACAACTTATTTAAATTATAAAATGGAACAAAGGGTAGCTCTTTGCATAGAGCTGAAATTCTCCCGATGAGCAAAGCTACTCAATGTGTCATGAATGACAGGGCTGCCTAATTTAACAAGCTCCCCATCTCAGCTGGGGTAAGAGAGTTTTAAAGAACAGAGAAACTTAAATATATCAGAGAATTATGTTAACATGTCATCAATAGGACACGGAGCCTTGCCAATGAAATATTACAGCTAGTAAATAAGATTCACATGCACACTTTAAAGTCAAAGATGAGTATTAATTAGCCAACATGCAAAAGATGGTTGCGCAGTTATACATCAGGCCTAACTAAAGGGTGAAGGGACATGATGCATGCTCACCTCACGGCTTATTAAGTTAAAGTATCTCTTTAGACAGAAACTTATCCCAAAAAAGTATAACCTAATAATTGCTAATGACCATTATTAATATGAATTTATAAGATGCTGCAAATGCACATCACACTAAATAACATCTCACCCCAGCCAGGTATGTTTTCATACTGTCATTTAGCTTTCACACTGCACTTAACCACTTTAAAAAGGAACGATACCGTTGGAATCACTTCCAGAGCGATTTTTTTTTGCTGATGAACGATTAATAAAACACTGAAAGCCAATCCAACGACGTTAGCGCGCTTTTATTATATACATTAACTGTTACGTATTACAAACAACAATTTCTGGAATACTTATTTTTATAATTATTGTATCGTTCTTGGTGTGAAAAGGCTGTAACACAGGGGTATGAATCGAATACCATGAGTATGTTTAGCATCGAATTGCCGTGTAAAGAGTAGCCTGTACAGTGCGAAATACACCGGGTTACAGTGAGTTTTTAACAAGTCCATCTAATCATAAACTAAACAGCGCTTACCTCATTAAAGATTTATGCGTTCTGTAGTCTGTACAGTTGCTTCCAAATGCTGTCTAGATTTCACATTTTTACCAAACGCACGTTACCAAAACCAGTGGCGTGCACGTCGTGCGTGAACTTCGCACAACTTTTTCGTCCAATCAGCGTGACTGACGTCATGAATATGCAAATAAGAACGTTCTCCCACTGTTCACAGATGTCCAGTACAGTGTGAATTTTTGAAACATGGCTACCCATGATTAATTACTAATACAGGTTGAAGTGTGAACCACGTGAAAACCCCATGGTTACGTTTATTTGGGGTTAAGAATGCCCCTGGGTAACAATGTCACGTAAATGTAAAAACGACATCTGATGAACTCCAGCGAGCAACACATCTTTTAAATCGCTACAGTAATGTAGACCTGCTGTGGTTCAGTCAGTGGATGTACCGAAACCTACATTTTCAATCAAACAGGATGCTCCCCAAAGAAAACACTTGCCCAGACAAGTCCCAATAAACATTCAAATAAAAAGCAGTTATAAAAGATCGTGACTAATCTACTTGATGCATAAAATATAACAAGACCAACTCTGCCAGTAGCATAGTATCTTTGCCATAACTGAAATCACACCATATGCATTAACACCAAGATGCCCCTTTCTGACAGATGCCGAAGCCAGTTCTCATGAGTAACCAAATCATTATTCCAAATAACCCCCTTAATTTGCTGTTCTGGGTGTAAGAACACTGACAGACGCTTCCTTCTGCATCATAATCACAATTAAAATGTTCACGGTCAAATGAATTAAAGGGCTGCATTTTACTAGCAGCTCTTTGTGCGCGTGTTACTATCAAGCATGAAGCGCTGCCTCAAAACAACGTAGATATCAACTGTAGACAAGTGATACATTTTCAAATGCTTGAAAGCAAAGGCTCATGATGAGATATCTACAGACGCACTAAAGCAAAATGTATCTGCTGTAACTACGGCCAAGCAACTGCTCTCAACTGAAGACAGTAAATACGCGAATCGCTCGATCAGTTGAGACACGCGAGAAAGCGAATGCAGTAGTACACATGTAGCCTTTTGGGGTTGTATTTCTAAATGTCGAGTTTAAATGATCGTAGATAAAGGATATAGCGGCGAAGAAGAATGAGTAATCTTACCTGTCTTCTTTCTGTGAGTGAGTTGAAGGGACAGCAGCAGCAGCAGCAGGGCACTCGTTCACTCGTTCAACCTCAACAGTATCAGCAGATGATTCCACGATTAGCTTCATGCATCTCTGCGAGAAAACTCACTGCTTACTTTTTCAAATCAGCCGTGTGATTATTCAAAGGAAATGCCTGAGCTTAAATGTAAATGAGGGACTTGTAAAATGCTACGATGCTTTCCATGTAGACAACATAAACCCTCTCAGTGTCATTGAATTTTTCCGAGGCTGGCTTGCACACTACTAACGTTACAAGTGCACTGATTAGCCTACAGCGCTGTATCTCTCTGGTGCAACACTCTACAGATATATTGCAAGTTTGCAACGTTTTTAAATAGACAAGTCCATGTAGCCTATATTGAACAGAATAAACCCTGCAAAATAAATATAATTAAATAAATGAATAAACTGAAAAATAATCAAATGTGCATATGTTTATTTATATTTATATTACTTCACTAATTATTACTTATCTAAAAATAGCATTTTTTTTCTACTTCCAATATGATAATGAGGGGGTGGTCAGCTTACTCCTTTAGGTTGGTTTGTTGTTCTATATGTTTTGACCTCTGCTGAGAGGCAGTTGTAATATCATTGGCAATATAATAAAGAGTAGTATTATTTGAGAGTGTTATCAGAATCAGAATCAGAATCAGAAGAGCTTTATTACCAAGTATGTTTACACACACAAGGAATTTGACTTGTCCACAGGAGCTTCCAGTGCAGAAGAAAGTACAAACATAGTGCAGACATACATAGGAATAACACAGTAGGGATGTAATATAACACTAATATAATAAAAAAAAGAAAAATTGAATAATGTACTATATACAGAAATAGAAGTATAGGAAAAAATGTAATTGTTTAGATAAATGTACAGATATGTTTATTAGTGTGCAGATATGTTATTTACAAAGTGTGCAGTTTAATATAAATATAACTATGTTAGTTGTGATGGACGATGTATAATTATGAAGATTCTTTGTTCAGACTGAATATAGCCTGTGGGAAAAAAATGTTCTTGTGCCTGGCTGTTCTGGTGCTCAGTAAGTACAAACATAGTGCAGACATACATGATAGTGCAGACATACATAGGAATAACACAGTAGGGATGTAATATAACACTAATATAATAAAAAAAGAAAAATTGAATAATGTACTATATACAGAAATAGAAGTATAGGAAAAAATGTAATTGTTTAGATAAATGTACAGATATGTTTATTAGTGTGCAGATATGTTATTTACAAAGTGTGCAGTTTAATATAAATATAACTATGTTAGTTGTGATGGACGATGTATAATTATGAAGATTCTTTGTTCAGACTGAATATAGCCTGTGGGAAAAAAACTGCAAACTTCAGGAGCTTGACAGAGGGGTCTTTAGAGGTGCAGTCATTCGTGTAGAGAGAGAATAGCAGTGGGGAGAGAACACATCCCTGTGGGGCGCCAGTGCTGATGGTGATAGTCCTGGATGTGAATTTGCCCAGCCTCACTAGCTGCTGCCTGTCTGTCAGGAAGCTGGTGATCCACTGACAGATGGAGGTGGGCACGGAGAGCTGGGTGAGTTTGTTTGAGAGAAGGTCAGGCATCAGTATTGTTTGAAATACAATTAAAGACACCCCTGTTTATTGGTGAATACCTTTGATCGAAGAAAAACAACATTTTCATTGGTTAAATCACTGTCAACAAATATCTCTTCCATCATAATCAGATTCATAACATTATGATTAATGCTAAACAGTGTGTTGCAATTCAAATCGATGACAAAAAAATGGTAAACTAAGTGCATTCTTGTTCCAATATAACAGCTGATTATATTATTTATAATATCTGTCTATATCTGTCTTTTATCAATGGAATATAATCTTTATTGAATCAATATGCATTCATTTAATAATATGGAATATTATTTGGACATTTATTAATAAATAATAATTAGAACAGTCCAGAAACTCACAATTCCTTTTTTTTTTTTTTTTTTTTTTTTTTACAACAGTTGACAGGTGACAACAAGCGTGCGAGATTAGGATTTTGATCCGGGTGCAGTTTCTTTTAACTTCTAAATGTAATTATGTTTGAAAGATCAAATAAACGCTGTTTTGTGAACGGTTGCAATTCTGTGGGCGGTCCTGTCCTCGCTTTCAGGCCCAGTTTCAGCCAATCCGCGCCGGACTTCTCTGCAGACGTCAATGCGAGGTTGGTTTAGGTTTAGCCCTTTGTATAGTGTATTAGCCTGTGCTCTAAGTTGCCCCTCACGGTAGCGGCGCAATGAATTGTGATAATTGACAACACATGGATCTGTAAGTAATATATCACATAACCTGTTATGAACTAAAAAGAAAACAAGCTCGAAATTGTATTCGTTTTTGTCCGCTGTCTTCAAGTCATACGACCAGTTAGCAAGCTGAGGCTACTGCTAGCCTGCTGTCAGGCGTACGGTTTCTCTCAGTTGACATAAGCCTGACTTTAAACCTACTGGATCGTTCTCTATGAATAAAGCACACTGGGGAACAAAGACCGAAGTTTAAAGTTAATCTATGTCTAATGGAATACATTTATACACATAATGTTATCTTAAAACGCTTATTGTTACCTACTGGCTATTTATCTGAACACTAACTGTCAGACTATGCCCCCAAAAAAGTGGATGGCTGTGTTTATAAGCCAAGATGTTTTCAGTGTAAAGGGGCTGGATTCTACTATGTTCTACAATATCGATTACTTTCACATCAAAACAAATGTGTATTTCATCTCTCCATTGCTGTTCAGCACAATCCTTATGTAAAACTGCTTTAAATTACTTTTTTTCCCCATATCAATCTACACTCCATACACCATATAGACAAAGCAAAACCAGAATTGTCACAACCTCGTAAATGTATTAAAAATAAAAAATCTTAAATAAGTACATTGGTTGAAACAGCTCAGATTTACATTTTAGTTTAGGACTAGGCTTAAGCCTTGTCTAGAAACTGGGGGGAAATGTCTGAGCATTTTAGTCTAGTTTTAATCAGTGTTAACTTACACATTTTCGTCATTTTTTCGTCTTACTGTATAATGGTTAAAATTATAAAAATATTTTAATTTGCAATGATTGTTGTCATTTGAGAAATGTATTTTTACATTTCATCAGAAGTTGCTCTTACACCAATAATTTTACCTCATCTATTGTACAGATTTATAACAGGATATCAATTAGAGTCTAAATAAACACCAAAGACTTGATATACTAGATATACACTCGCCCTGTCTACATTATGAAAACTGGCATAACAAAAACCTACTCTCAAATATTATAACAGAGAAATTCCTAATAGTAATTCCAAATTGCATTATTGTTTCTCTTTTAAAACAATGGCAAAAAAAAACAAAAACGTATTGCCGCACAGAGGTTGTGTAAGTAACTTTACAATCAGCAACCACTATCGAACAGAAAAAACTATATAAATATTCAGTGTAATATGAATTAAAATATGTGTCATTATGGTCGACTAATTGACTAGTTGTCCAGCAATGATTAGTCTTAGCGTTTAGTAAGGTTGTCTAGTTTTATCGATTTTAGATGTATAGATTTTATAGATCCATAGATTCACCATTCAAAAGTTTGGGGTCTGTACGATTTTTTAAGTGAAGTCTCTTAAGGCTGCATTTATGTGATAAAAAAATACAGTAAAAATACTAATATTGTGAAACGTTATTGCAGTTTAAAATCACGTAACATTTCTTATTATTATCAATGTTGAAAACAGTTGTGCTGCTCAGTATGTTACTGGAAGCTATGATATATTTTTTTAGGATTCTTTGTTGAATAGAAAGTTCAAAAGAACAGCATTTATTTGAAAACCGAAATCTGAAATATCTTTACAATGTTACTTTTTACCAATTGAATGTGTCCTTACTGAATAAAAGTTAATTTCTTAAAAGAAAAAAAACTTACTGACTGCACATTTTTGTCAATGGTACTGTATATTATATTTTTAATACTTTTAGCAACAGTGCTGTTTAGTAAAATCCTCTTTTGATAGTTGCATTTTTTTAATTCATTCTCCGGTACATGTGACATGTAGGTAAGTATGGTGTCCCATACTTGGAATTTGTGCTCTGCATTTAACCTATCCAAGTGCACACACACAACTTGAACACACACCCAGAGCAGCGCCCGGGGAGCATTTGGGTCTCACCTCAGTCGTGGTATTGAAAGTGGAAGAGAGCTCTGGTCATTCACTCCCCCCACCGACCTGCCGGACCTGAGACTCGAACCCGCGACCTTTGGGTACAAGTCTGACTCTCTAACCATTATAGCTGCAGAAGGGATGTTGCAAAGTACCAGTAGTGATGATAACCGTGATATTTAAAAAATAAAAAATTGATATCATGTTAAAACTACACATACAATATTATTGAAAATAATCCAGCACCAGTAACTTGATCCTCCATCTGACAATCCAGTTGGCAGCTACAGTATGTCAAATTGCAGGTTTATTTTTTTTAGCAAGTTTAAAAGTTTGTTTTCTCATTGATTCATTTTCAAATTATTTATTTCTAATTGAGTAAATATTATGTAAAATAAATACAAATTTAATTTACATTTCATACTTCATTTATATAGCACATGTTATTTGCTATCTTTAAATTAAATAGTGTTTTATTATATCGGCTTTATATTAACCACTAGGGCTGGGTATCGAGTTCAATACTTTTTAGGCACCAACCGAAATGCCTCGATACCATCGAGTATCGAAAAACGTCTCGTCGTTCGGTACCAAATTTCGATACCTAAGGGGTTAATCTCATCAGCGTCAGTGAGCCAATAAGCCTGCAGCACTAGCCGGTGTGTTCGACTCGAATAGGTGCGGCGCAGATCGATCAGTGTTTGACATCCACGAGAGCGATTCGAAAGCACACGGAGCACTCTGCTCTCTTTAGCTCTCGTGGTACTATAATACACAGATAGGTCTGCACAGTCAGTCCGCGTCAAGTTGAACACACCTACTAGTTTACACCGGTTACACTCAGAGATGTAGCGCACACGTGAGGCTGTAGTGTGAATGCATCCCAGCCCCCTTAGATGTAAGGCAACATTTACACTGGTGTGTTTATGTTTTAAAATGAAAATTATCCTCGTCATACTGGCGTTTCCACTGCATTTCAAGCCGGCTTTCCATTATATTCGACAAGCGACACACCAGTCATTTAGTCATTCATTTCCAATGTAGAGCGGGAGCTGCGTGGAGTTCCGATCATATGCAGATGTCCGTTCATACTACACAACCGAAAGCGCGTGTTACGTGAGCATTCATGCAAACTGTAGCATCATGCTACATAAGACAATAAATAAGATTTATATTCCGCTTGTACTCAAAACTCACTTTAAATCACCATTGAGTGTTTGTAATAACTTCCGATTGCCGTCGAATATGTGTTTTTGCCATGTAATGTTGCTGAAATGAAATATGTTATTACCTCTGACTCTGAGTCAGAGCAGCGATCATGGAAGAGAGAACACTGGCAGACACTAGTGTAAATGTAGCCTGACAGATGTGTAAACTGAAGACTATTTGAGCTTTATTAAAACTATTTGCACTGATTTATGATTTTGAACAATACCCAGCCCTATTGACCACCCTGATCTCTAAAATATTGACATCGGCCATCAATATCAAAATCGGTATCGATCGACCACTACTCAGAAGTGGTTAACATAAACTTGCAGTCCATTCATGCAGTTACCTTTAAATTTATAATTATTAAATTCTTTAAAATTTTGTTTTAAAAAAGCCTCCTTACAGAATATGTGGTTGACATTTCACAGGTGCCTGACACCCCAAGGACCCCAAATTACTTAGTTCAACATGCAAGATATAAACGAATATTCCATTGCACTGGATATTAATGACAAAGAGGCATCAACAGAGAATCAGGCCTGAGCAGAGACAATAAAGCCACGCACAGCAGCTTTCAGCATCACAGCTGAGCCTTCTCTAGGCCTTAGGTGTATAGCTGGCACAGCAGTCAGTGCTCTCCTGGGATCAGCACGAGATAAACACATTTAGGTGCACATGTGACCTCTGAGCCCATTCAACAGTGCCAGCCTCTGTCTCTCCCCCTCCCACAGGAAGTCTGACTGAAAATCAGCCCTTTATTGGTTAACACAATATCCATTATCCACGGGTAACACGTTACAAAGCACAGCATTACAGTTTTTCTCATTTATGAGGCTATAAGGATGATTCTAAAGGTGGTCTGTTATAATGATGTGTGTTATTATAGAAATTATATGTTATGAGTATGATTGTATAGGAAGGATACTGTGAAAGAGATTGTGATGTCACCTTCATCTTTTTTTGTGCAGGCTTATTCTGGCTGCTAACAGAGACGAGTTCTACAGCAGACCGTCCAAAGCTGCAGACTTCTGGGGCAGCAACAATGAGATCCTCAGCGGTAAGGATCAGTCTTATTTTTCAAATGTTAGACAAATATTTAATATCCAAAGTCCCGTTTTTATCTCAGCTATGTTCTGAGACTTATTGACTTAGCTGTGTCACTGAGGAATTCAGATGTTGGTTTTTACAGGAGAGTTTGCCTGAACTGCATATAACTGAGTTCCTACAGTTTAGGTTGAACAAGAGTTTCTTCAAGAGTCTTTTGCTTAAACACAGCCCTTATTGTGTCTCACAGAGCCAGACATTTGGCTATCTGCATGATGTCTAATCCATGATGCATGTCATTCTGGTCAAGAACAGCCCACTTAGAGCACAGATTGTTTCATTTTTTTCCAATTAATTTGCTACTAAATAGCTAGTTAAGTAGTGTGGTTGTGTAGTTTATCACAAAGGTTTTTTTTTTGGTACAATATTTTGACTATCCACAAACTAGCTATTCGAATAGTGTAGTTGGCTAGTTTATCTAGATTTTTTTTCTAATATTTGTTTAGGTTTGATATTTTTACTATTTGTCCACAAACGAACTAGTCAAATGATGTGGTAGGCTAGTTTGCCTAGACTTTTTTTCCCCCTAATTTTCATTTTAGCTTTAATATTTTAACTATTTGTCCACTAACTTGCTAGTCGAGTGGTATGGTTTGCTAGCTTGCCTATTTTTTTTTTTCTTTTAATTTTTATATTAGCTTTGATATTTTTAGTACCTTTGCACTCAAGAGGCAGATCTTGTGCTTTTTAGCCTATTATTTAATTCAGAAAATATCAGTAAATTCTGTTTGTGAATATCTAGATTACTTGCTACTATGTGTTTTACATTTCAAAGATTTGATGCCACTGGGAAAATGGCAAAATCCAATTCTTCAAACTACTTCATGCCGGTTTAAACTGCATCATCTAGTGAGTCAGTGATTATTTGTCAGAACATTCAGTTTGGAGAGAATTATTGAAGATTATATTTTCCTGAGGAAACACTGAATCATTTAGAAGATAAGCTGGTTGCATCTACTGCTTGAGGGGTTATGATTATGTTTAAGTCTCTTGCATCATGCCTCAGTAGTGAGAATTCAGTCATAATCAATGTGACGTTAGGAGAGGAAAAGGTAATCATCCACATTTGTTTAAGTGTCCATTGTCGGGATTCAGCTGACCACCCTCAAGGAGTAAGAACTGTTCAATTGACTGATAACCCACAGTCTGCTAAACAATACATCCCAGAACAAAAATCAGTCATTCCCCTGGCTCCACAAGATCATTGTTTTTTTTCCTGTCCATGTTCTGCCATTCAGTCCTTGGATCAGACAGAATTGGATGACCTTTAATTCATGGGTGCTTTTATGTGTAGTTTTAGAAATAAATTCTGCTGCTAAGGAAAAAGCCCTTACCTGTTTGAAGGAGTGAAGTATGGGGTATGGATGAGAAATGTTGGATGAGAATTTAGCTGAAAGATTGTATGAAACTGAAATGGTCATAGTCTTTGGGTGAAGATGAGAAGGCCAGGTATTTTAAAGATAATATTGGATCTGTTGTCCTGTGAATTGAAGCTAAATGTTACTATTATTTAAGGGGTCATATGATGTTGCTAAAAATAACATTATTATGTGTATTTGGTGTAATGAAATGTGTTTATGCGGTTTAAGGTTTAAAAAACTTATTATTTTCAACATACTGTACATTATTGTTTCTCCTCTATGCCCTGCCTTTCTGAAATGTGTCGATTTTTACAAAGCTCATCGGTCTGAAAAGCAAGGTGTGCTCTGATTGGCCAGCTATCCAGTGCGTTATGATTGGCCGAATTCCTCAAGCGTGTGACGGAAATGTTATGCCCCTTACCATACTGTGATGCTGTGTCCCGGAGCGACAAGACAAAAACATTAAAAGCCATTATAAACGTTACATTATAAACGAGGCATTTGTTGCATCCAGTGGACACATAATTACGGATTATAATGATTTATACTTTCTTTTTACATGTTGCGTTGCATCGCGCCGCGTAAACATGAAACCATGTCTGCATTTGTGATCAGAGCAATGACAAACAACAAGCGATACTCTACACTGCTCAAAACTCGCGTTTGAATCATCAGTGGCAAATTCTTTAAATATGAAAATGTACTTACAGTCTGTGAGTCAGAACAGCCGGCATTGTAGTCTACTCTCCCAGGATCAGGAAACAGTCCTCCATAAAATGCGTTGCACACATCTGAATATTTGGGTTGAACTGTTCTGGAACAGTGTTGTAAATACAACTTAACCACTGATTTCTAGTCGTGTCCTCTTTTGGAAGGCCAAACAAAGTAGTTTTGCTTTTGCAACGAAACACACAGCGTCTTCACAACATGGCGGTGGCAACAACAATAAAGTTACACCTTCTTTCTTTGCGTGAACATTTGGGCGGCGTTATGCAAATCTTCCCACACAGTGACGTAGACATGTGGGGGCATGTTTAAACGAGGTGTTTTAGGAGGGTGTGGACCAGTCTTAACTTTTATAAAGAATATCTCTTTGGGTTTGAGACTTTAGTCTTTGCAACTTTAGGGATCTTATCTATTCACGAACCGCTTGTAACACTCCAAAGAGAAAGGAAAACTTGAAATCGCATCATATGACCCCTTTAATGGGCCTATCACTAAATATGAATCACTCTGTGGTTTTGCTGTGTAGTTTTGCATGAAGCTATCTAGCGCTGTTGTTTTTCAGTTGATTCAGTTGTTCAGAATTTCTCCTCTTTTCAAAGCACTAGATCAGTGTGCTTGGGCCTATAAAGTACTTTGTTTTCTTTTCAGTATCAAGATGAAAAATATTATTCTGTAACTTTCAGTCCAGGTCATTCTTGGTGAACATTCCTGAGCTATTCGGTACATCTAAATCTGATCTCCTGCTGGTTTTATTATTATAGCCAGCAGACAGGATTTAATGTCACTTCGACATTAAATCACAATGTGATTTTTGTTTTCTGTCATTAGGTCTGGACCTGGAAGAGGGAAAGGAAGGCGGATCGTGGCTGGGAATTAGCAAACGAGGGAAACTGGCAGCACTGACCAATTACCTGGATGCACGGCAAAATCCTGACGCTCAGGGGAGAGGTAGTGCAGATCTTTCACCCATTTGTATTAATGTACTCTACTATTACTGAGCAGTTGACTAGACACACTTAATCAACGTATTACCCTCATAAATTACTCTTAATAGTAGCATAATTCACCTTTGAAAAGCCTTCATCATCCATGTATTTTCTGTTCAAGTAAGCAGGCATGCAGAGATTATTTTCCTGTTTTATATATGTATATATATGCGTGTATAAAAAAACGGCTCAAGCAGTTCGAGTCTCATTAAAATTTGCTATATGCAAACATATATCATGGACTAATATACTGAAGAGTCTTATGCAACAAACACCTCTATACATGCACACCTCCAAATCCTTTTTTTATGTATTGTCTTATAATACACAAGCATAAAGCTGAAACAAATTTGACCAAAGAACAGAAGTGCTGAGAAAGTAAAAACAGCCCAGAGGTGCTTGTACAAAATACTTTCTCACAAATAAAAAATATATTAGATTTTCAAATCAGCAAAAGAAGTAATAACAATAACTAGATTTTTACATTTTTCTGAAGAAAATGTGAGTGGTGCTTGCCTGTGCAAAAATCAAAGATGATGATAGAAATTGCCACATTTTTCACAATTTCCTATAATAGTTCTGTAACATTCTAGATATGGCCGGGGACTGGAATTTTTGTCCGTCTTATCAAGGTGATGCTATGCGGATGCTAAGACCTTCTTAGCGTTTTTTAGCATGTTGCTATTTGTTAGGGTAATCTGGTTGGTGGTTAAACCATATTAATAGAAAGAGCCCATGAATAAGTGTCTTGGTTTATGGAAAGTCATGGCACACTTCACAGTAAAAACTGTATGATTTGAGGTATCATTCATCAGAGGTTTACAACAAACCTTTGACAGAGAGCAATAATAATAGAGATACTTGTATTTGCAAGAAACACTAACAATAATTATAATAATGTAAAAAGAAACTAAAAGAAATTAAAAGAAAGTACTATCCACATGCGCCACCAGAGTACTTTGATGTTTAATAGATGGTTCTTCAGATCAGTTGAGATTAAAATTACCCTAGTTTTAACACATCATTGCAGATTTTTTACTTTTTCACCTACATTTTCAAATTTCGCTGCTCCAATATGAAGCTTATTCTAATGATGTAGTTTTTCTTTACTCATAACCCACCATGCTGAAGAAGTTAGGCTGGATATTAAGTGGAGTTGCCTTAATTGTGTTATTCTTAATGATTGCTGACATGTTATGGGTGGTGAGGCCGGAGACGTGAACAGCTGTTCACTGCAGATCTCCACTCAGCTGAACTAGACTCCTCACTGTCATCACTCCAATGTCTGTTTAGGTTCTTCAAGGCCTCTTTATAAGCTGACACCTCGCTAGCACTTACCATCAAAAGCATGTCGAACACACCCCACCCCACCCCTCTGTTCCCAAGCCATGTCACTAAATATAATGCAAACAACCCAGCTGTTATTTGGATGGTTGTACACAACAGCTGCGTGCAAGAGCTGGAGCAATATGGCTCAGTACATGTTGTTCAACAAATTGCGTTCATTTGAGCAATTAGTTCTCTAAATCTGCCTAAATGACTTATTTGAGAGTGGACAAAATTAAATGACCTTCACCAAGCAGTTCACAACCCATTCTTCCTCTTTCACAATCCATGGTTGTAATAAATTGGATTATTGATACACGCTTGTCTGCATTTATCATTTTTACTCAGGTTCCCTGGTGTCCAACTATTTGATGGATAACTTGGACAGTTTTGCGTACCTCCGTAAAGTGTCTTCAGAAGCTCATTTATATAATGGCTTCAATCTCCTTACTGCTGACTTCAGGTGAGTGGTGGAAGGCAAATCTTGGTTGGCTCTTGTCATTATCTATAACCTTGCTTAAATGGTGAATACATCAAAATAATCATAAATGGTTTACTGTTAGCGATTTCCCTCAATTCGTGAAAGCATTTCAATTCAAACTCATTCAAAGAGGTGTTTTTTCTGTTTTAATCTGTTTGGTGTTGAGGTGAATTTGTTATATTTGTTGGAGTGTTTGGTGGCAAATACAGTCATAATTTAGTTTAGTTATCATAGTACATCAAACTTTAATTATTACCAGACTCTAAAAGATCATTTAAATTAGACATTTAATGAAGTGGCTTATTGATTGAAGTTCTGTCAAATAATAAAACCTGAAATGCCATTGATTCTTACATTTAAAGAAAGAAAATTAAATGATAATGTGATGCCATTCTTATGTCAGTCTTTCAGTTAAATCCAATTAAATCATGTACATTTCAGATGTCAGTTTACTAATTAAAACCACTTGTCACTAATTCTAACCAAGTCTGTTTAAAGAGATGCAAAGTTTTGAGAAATAACTATAAGTGAAGTGCCTCTCTTTCATGATCTCACTTTCTTTATCATTTGTTATGAGGATGACATGACAGTGATGATACTGTCTTAAGCTCTGGAGTCCTTAAGAGGGACAGCAGGCACTGGTGCCGCCACCTGCTCTCCATATACCGAAGCTCAAGAAATCTATTTAGAATATAGTCCGAACAGATGGCGAGTTTCCAGCAGCGTGACTTTCTCAGAACATAGTAATTTGAGGCGATTTAAAGGGATACTCCACCCCAAAATGAAAATTGTGTCATGAATCACTTACCCCCATGTTGTTCCAAACCCCTAAAAGCTTTGTTCGTCTTTGGAACACAATTTAAGATATTTTGGATGAAAACCGGGAGGCTTGTGACTGTCCCATTGACTGCCAAGTAAATTACACTGTCAAGGTCCAGAAAAGTCTGAAAGACATCGTCAGAATAGTCCATCTGCCGTCAGTGGTTCAACCGGAACGTTATGAAGCGACGAGAATACTTTTTGTACGCGAAGAAAACAAAAGGGATACTCTTAAAGTATCCCTTTAAGAAGATGGGTTTCATGATTCCACATATTAAAGGTAAAAATTATGACATTTATTGAAATAATTCATGTTTTTTGTGTGTAAAATACCATAATGCTGGTTCAGTGTAGAGGATGTCTATTTTATATTGCATTAACAAACTAGTAGCCTAAGAATGCATTCACAGTTCACTGTAACATGAACAACAGCAATAGGAGTGAACACATACACTATAGCTGAGTAGTGTTCATTGATTTGATTGACGCTGCCATGTGTATTTATCTAGATATTAGGATGTACTTAAAACTCTTCGATTGTGTTGTCTCTTGTTTTTAAATTAATCATCTCCTACCTTTTTATTCAGTGTTACTAATATTTTCCATGTTTTTTCTGTTGTGACCATTATCATTTAAGGAAAACTGTCCTCTTTATTTCTTTTAATTCTTCCAGATACATTAATCACAGTAGTTCACCGTGTGCTAGAGACTTGGGGCAAGACATCATCACCCCATCATTTAGCTTGCTGAAAGGCTGTCTGCTAATGTAGTGATGGATTACTTAAGTCCATGCTGTCATCTGAGGGACTGGGAGGGATAATATTTGTCCATTTGTCTCTTCAAGCGGGTATTTATAAACAGAAAATACATTGGAAGGCCACTCAGACTCCCAAACCCAGTAATGAAACTGAAGGCGATAGCCATGCAGAGTGTTATTAATTTGTTTACCCTTTTAACAAACAAGATCATTATTGAGCTTATCGGACTCTCCCTTTCTTTCCTTGGCCACAAAGGACAAAATGATACATGTCCAGATAAACTCTGAGGAATTACAATGGGCATTTTGTGCTGAAATCAATACAACTGTCTTCTGTAAATAGAGACGGCCTTTCTAAAAGAATAAAGAGGTTTTGTTTGTTCCTCTACAGGGATGTGACTGACAACACTGATAATTGCCTTATGTTTTATATGATATTTCAGCCCAATGAAACATGTTTCTGCTTGTTTAGATCAGGCTTGGTATTAAAATTCCTCTTTGAGTGTGCTGCTCACCGCTTTCACATATAGACCATATAGATTCTTTCAAGGGCTCATTTCATGAGGAATCAAATTTTCCTTGAACTTTGGAGATTAAAGTGTTCGTTCTGTACATTTCAGCACTTCCTCCCCAGTGAAAAAGGACAATTTATTGTAACAGGGCTGCAAAAAATAGCTCATTCTTTAACTTTCTTTTGGGGTCAGTAAGATTTTTTTAAATGTGGTTTTAAAAAGTATTTTATGCTCACCAAAGCCTCATTTATCTGATCAGAAATATAGTATAAACTGTAATTTGTGACCCTGGACCACAAAACCAGTCATAAGGGTCACTTTTTCGAAATAAGCTTTCCATTGATGTATGGTTTGTTAGGATAGGACAATATTTGGCTGAGAGGTTTGTTAGGATAGGACAATATTTGGCTGAGATACAACTATTTGAAAATCTGGAATCTGAGGGTGCAAAAAAATCAAAATATTGAGAAAATCGCCTTTAAAGTTGTCCAAATTATAGATTTACAGTAGGAAATTTACAAAATATCTTCATGGAACATGATCTTTACTTAATGTCCTAATGATTTTTTGGCATAAAAGAAAAATGAATCATGTTGACCCATACAATGTATTTTTGGCTATTGCTACAAATATACCCCAGAGACATAAGACTGGTTTTGTGGTCCAGGGTCACATATTATAAATAAATATTATTTAAAACAATATTTTTTTAATTAAGTTGTAAAAATGTGAAATAGTTTTCTCTTTTTATGTATTTTCAAATGTAATTAAATTCTCTGTTGACACCACTGAATTTTCAGCAGCCATTACGCCAAATCTTCAGTGTCACATGATACTTCAGAAATCATTCTAATATGCTGATATGCTTTAGAAAGGTTTCAAAACAAAACAGTTGTGCTGCTTAATGTTTTGGGGAAATTGTGATAAAAAATTCTTTGATTAATATAAAGTTCAAATGAACTGCATTTATTTGATTTTTTTTTAACTATTGAATGGAAGACTTATATTAACCAAACTTTAATCAAACGTTCCTTGATCATTGGAGATTAAAGTGTTCATTTTGTAAGTTTCAGAACTTCATCCCTAGTGAGAAAAGACCATTTACTAAAACGGAGTGGCAAAAATGACTGGTTCTGTACTTCCTCAACTTTCTGATGTCAGGCAGATTACTTTATTTTAACACATGCACATGTGACCACCCACATTTACGCTATGTCAATGATGCCTATTCAGTCAAGGTGGGGTAATGTAGAGGAAGTAAGATTGGTTCTATCTGTGTTGAGCTGTTTTGTTTTGATCCTGTCAGAATGTAATGCAGGCTTTGCATAGAGCCTGCTTTGAAGAATGAAGCTGTTAAAAAAATAGCTTGGAGCTAAAAGCAAACCTGCAGTTCACAAATAAATGTTTCTAATTTCACGTGCAAATAGGGCATTTGCACTGAAGGGAGAGCAGTAACTACTTAAAAATAATAACAATAAAACATATAAAAATATACACCATTTTTTTAACATTCTAACAACTGGACATTATGAAAAAATAAAAACGAGTAGAAATAAAAAGATATATTAAAAAATGTATGATATAATATGACCTGATAAATCTTTAAACTGATTTTTAAACTTTAACTTGGATTTGTTTTCTGTATATTATAATTATTATATTATGTTACTATATATTGTGTATGGAATTGATGGATGTAGCTGGATAGGGTTACTGTTATGAGTGTAGTTATAATTAGATTCCTGAAAGTTGGTATGATAGATGGGTGTGTAACCCTAATATTTTTGTCTGCTGACTAGTTGACTGGCTGTTTTAGCTGTGTAAGGCTTGGTCTTTCTGGTCCAAATCTCAGAACAAAATCACCTTGACATAATGCTTAAAACTGGTAACTTGAGTTTATTTTGCGAAATAATATTAATAAAAGCGTGTCTCTGGAACAAAATTCATTTGTAACTTGATCTGATTGTTGATTTTCTAGCAATGATTGTACTGCATTAATACATCATTAGAAAGCTATTTGGCTTTTATGCCCCAGTGTTTAGAGTCTTTCAGTGCAATTAATGCATTAGTGGAGATAGATAAGGCCATTATTAGAAGGTATTTTGTGTGTGCCAGTGTAGTTTGCTCAAATTAAGTTATTTTTATAGACTCAGCTGGCGTAATGGGGAGTTATGTATATTTAAACAATAAGACACAAGAAATAAACAGTAGTTACAGATGTTTTGTGTCATTGCTTTTACTATATTATGTATTTTAGCATGTCTGGAATGTTACATTGACCAATCATCATCCCGGTCCAGAACTAATCATTTAATAAGTATATAATATAAACAATATGTTGAACTTGTAAATAAATAAAACTGAATACAGAGAGAAAATCAACTTTGTAATCTCTTCAGTGCACTAAATCCTCCAAAAAAAAGTAATGTAGTTCAGCAAAATGCCATTTCACATTCACTGGAAGATTCCTAAAACAGATGTGGTTTTACTGAAAGTCGGCATTCTGCATACTTATTTTATCCCTAGTACATATACAACGGGGTCTAGTCTCCAGAGTTCTGAGGCTTCTGAAGTCCTTTCCTCGCTGTCTGACTTTCTCTTCATCGTGGTTTGTCATCGCTGTCAAACTGTTCCACCAGCATTATTGATGTTTCTCTCAAAGTGCTTTCAGAAACCCTAAATTGGCCATTTCTCCTTTCATAGCCGTCCTCCTGTGTCTCCTGGGCCAATAAAATGTCCTCTGAAACACATGGCTATATCACCATAGTTCCATCAGGAGTAATGTGCTTCATTGAGGATCCATCCACTAGATTCATGTGTATGAAAACAGGAACATGTCTAATCAGATAAATTGTGATTATGATATAGTGACTGAGCTCATACATACAAACTAAAAGGAGATTCTCTCTCCTCCTTAAATACAGACTGATATTTAAGGAGGAGAGAGACTGATTTAGGAAGATTTATTTCATGAGCTGATGAAGGACAGAGACTTTCTATTCTACTCGTTCTGTCTGTCTGTCTGTTCTGTCATTCTATCTATGTATCGTTATGTCTATCTGTCGTTCTTTCATTCTATCTATTGTTCTATCTATCTGTCTATAACAAAGCATATGGAAAATGTCTGTATAATGTTTATTTGTGTGTGTGTGTGTGTGTGTGTGTGTGTGTGTGTTTGTATAATAAATGGCTTATTTTGTTTTTGTGAGTTTTGATACTATATTAGTTAGAATGTATTGATTTGCACTGTGTAACCCTAAACTATATGCATATTTATATGATAAATGACTTGTTTTGTTTGTGCATGTTTTGCTACTTTATTAATTAGGATATGTTGATTTGCACTGACGTATTCTACAGTTCTATATATATATATATGCATTACATAACTATGTAAATTTGGTTCACATTATGGACCTATTTGCATTCATAACATAATTATGTATTCATCAGTGAGAGTAATTCATTTAAAACCAGTTACGATGTTTTAAGTAAATAAGACCTATCAGTTGTGTCAGTTCTTAAAACTTATATTTTCCAAGCGTTGCAACTAATCAATTAGTATTAGAAACTAACCGATTAAGTTAGTATATATACTAAGTATATATACACATCCATTCAAAAGTATGGGGTATAGATTTTTTTTTTCTTTTTAAGAAAGGATGAAGGATCAAGGATGCGTTGATTAGATCAAGTGACATTAAAGACATTTATAATGCTGCAAAAAATTTATATTCCAAATAAATGCTGTACTTTTGAACTTTGTAATGTAATGTTTGTCTTTTTAAATTGTAATGCTTCACAATGTTTTTGTTTTTCATCAAATAAATGCATCCTTGATGAGCATAAGAGACTTCTTTCAAAAACATAAAAAATGTTACCAACCTGTGTGTGTGTGTTTGTATAATAAATGGCTTATTTTGTTTTTGTGAGTTTTGATACTATATTAGTTAGAATGTATTGATTTGCACTGTGTAACCCTAAACTATATGCATATTTATATGATAAATGACTTGTTTTGTTTGTGCATGTTTTGCTACTTTATTAATTAGGATATGTTGATTTGCACTGACGTATTCTACAGTTATATATATATATATATATATATGCATTACATAACTATGTAAATTTGGTTCTGTGTTTACAATGACAAATGATGCAAAAATAGCTGTAAATATGTGTTTAATTGTGTTTTAGCAGTGAGCACTAACTATTTTTTTTTCTCGCTGTTTTGTTGGATGCAGGGCCAATGAAGACACATTGTGTTACTATGGAAACAAGGGCAGTTCAGAGCCCATTCATCTCAAAGCAGGTTTGTTCAGTCCCTCGGTTAGCGCTCTGTGTTCAGATGCTAGTGGTCTTGCATAAAGCACTGCTGTTTACAGTGTTCCACCTACCGTCTGCAATACAGACCACTTTCACTCGTTCAGCACCAGATTGGTGGGTGTGTCTCACTCAAAGCTCATAGGAAGTGATGGATGATTGTTTGTTTCAGCAGGAATCTACGGGTTGAGTAACTCTCTTCTGGAAACTCCGTGGAGAAAACTGCAGCACGGCAAACGGCTGTTCACCAGCGTAGTGAACAAAACACTGTCCCCTGATGGCTTAGTGCAAGAACTGCTCCATATCCTCAATAATGAGGAGCTGTAAGTGTGCACACTCCTTCATTATGAAAATGAGTATTCTCTTGCTTTTTTCTTTTGTTTCTCTTTATCTTCCATCTACCTTTATCTTTCTTAAACAAAGAAACCAGCACCCATCCTTTTTGATCCTCAAGAAGCACTTGAGACACAAAGCAAAATGATTATTAGAAAGTTACTTTATAGAATCTTTGAAGCACAAGCAGCATCATTTTTTAAGTCTTTCTTATTTCCTCAGGTTTTATAAGGTGAATGCAGGCAGTATATCATAATTTATTTAGATATTAAAAAGCAGCTCTTCAGAGCCACATACTGGATGAGTCCAAGCCTTACTTCCATGTTAAGCATAGTTGTTTTTCAATATTTTTTATTACAGATTTCTTTTTTCAGATTTGATCACTTTAAGTTTTCAGAGACAGTGTCACGTGTGTATAACTTTGTTTGTGTTTGAAGGCATGGAAGTGAGAGCGGGGGCTCCAGGGAGTTTTATACATTTGTGACAGACAGATTGCCTACCCATGTCAGCAATGAACTTCTAGATCATGTAGATGGATTAATGGGGGTGAAACAGCCGTCTGATTAGACATTATGGACCTATTTGCATTCATAACATAATTATGTATTCATCAGTGAGAGTAATTCATTTAAAACCAGTTACGATGTTTTAAGTAAATAAGACCTATCAGTTGTGTCAGTTCTTAAAACTTATATTTTCCAAGCGTTGCAACTAATCAATTAGTATTAGAAACTAACCGATTAAGTTAGTATATATACTAAGTATATATACACATCCATTCAAAAGTATGGGGTATAGATTTTTTTTTTCTTTTTATGATTTGATTTATATTTAATGTGAATTTAACATTGAAGGTTAATGTGAATATAAACATTGTGAGGCTACTTATCATAACACTTTCATTGTACAGAAAAAGAGCAAAGAAGTGTACTTGATCAAAGAACATTTTCACTGACAGTCTAGAGTTTAAGCACTCTCAAAAACTCCCATTAAAATCACTGAAGCTGTTTACACTGTGAAATTAATATCTTACTTACAGATTCATACACACATCTGCAGTTTGTTGTTTCTAACAAGAGAATTCGCCAGAAAGAGGTATTCAGACAGCGAGCGAGTGAAGGTGTGATGACTCATCTGAACACCTCTGATTGGTCATTGCACTCATAAGCTCAACAGCATCGTGTGTGATTGGTTATAATGCGCAGCGCTGTAAAAACACGTCTGTCTCTGGCTCAGCGCCAGACAGCGAATGCAGGTTTGAATTTTAGCAGCTGTTGATATGACGCGCTGAACAATTTAATCTGGTGTGATTGTATCAAATATAGAAAATATTATTCAGCTATTTTTTGTCTTTTGGAAGTTACAATCAAATTCCACTTGGCTCTAAAATCACTCTGAATGGGCATGACGCGCTTGTATACTTGTAGAATTTCTCTGCATTCTTAAAATGCTCAGGTCTTTATCAAAGCACCAGCATGATTTGTCACACTAGAGTCGTTAGAATGTCACCTCTGCTCTTTCCAGAAACACCCCGGACCCTGCACAGGAAAGTCAAGGTGTGGGCTTCAGTAAGGCCATACTCCGAGCCCTGTCTGCAGTGTGTGTGCGCTCACCAGGATACGGCACAAGGTCCACTCATGCTATTCCTACTCTTACTTCTTTCTCTCTCCATAGAGCAGGGTGACACTCAACCAATTCATGCTGCACTTTCTATTTTACCTCCAATTTTGAAGTTTGACCAGTGTCATATTTTTGTCTCTCAGGACCAATACAGTCATCCTCATCGACCGAGAGGGAAACGTGAGCTTTACGGAGCGCACCATGCTAAACTGTGACCTCACCCAGTGGAGCACAAATAGCTTCCACTTCAAACTGCAAGAATGAGGGCCAGATGCCAGGCCGGGGGAAGAAGACTCTCACGCTGTGCCTTTATCCAGCCACTATCTGCTCAAGCCATGCACCACTGTTTCTACCAATATGAACATCAAGATTTAATTCAGACTTTCCAGTTGAAATAGGAAAGTGGTTCATTATTGCTACTGCTCTGTTCTGTTCTGAGAGGAAGCTTGGTAGCACGTTCTTTTTTTCTAGGTAATTGTTCTTTCTAATAACCAATGGCTCATGAGAAGGCTCACAAGGAATCTGCAGCTACAAACATCAGATTTCCATACAGTTTACAAGACAGACACAGAATTCCAGATTTCTTTCAGGTCAGTTCAAAAAGGTGCGCAGATTCCATCTGAATCTACTCATGAGGTGTGATTTTGAGTTCATGTAATTCAATCTGCAATTATTAATTCATATAGAAGTGGATTAGTTTGAAGAATGTAAAATGTTATTCATCATCCACTGAATCCCAAACAAACTGCCATTGGCATGAAATGCTGTTGGACAGAATCGTTTAAGGAACAAGATGTCTACTGCCAAAGAATGATTGTGTCAGTCACAATCCTTATGAACACAAGAAAATAAATCGTCTTCATAATCTTGCACAATGTAAACTTTACTTGCTATTCAGTGTGGTAGTGATCCACTGTAATACCTTTCACTCAGGAACTCCCTGAGAGCTACTGCCAAAAAAATTGAGACAATTTTTCTTCATCTTAAATTGAAAGGATGTTTTTTTTTTTGTCATATTAAATGAAAACATTTTGATTTCACTTCAAAAGTGTCGAAAGTTTGAAGTCTGTATGGTTTGGTATTTCCATTGCTGCTTTCATAATCTTATCTGATTTCTAATATCAAGGCATCAATGCATTTTGTCAGCTGTCAGGAATCCAATATGATCTTGTCATTTAAAGTCACGTCTATGGTTAATAACAGTGTGCCCGAAATGTAGTATTCAGCTTTTAAATGACAGTTGGCTGTCTTGGCTTTTTGTTATTTTTGTGTGTGCGTGCGTGCGCACGCGTGTGTGTGTGTGTGTGTGTGTTGTCTCTTAGTTAATAACAGTGAAAGATACACATTTTTAGCCAGACCTAATTATCTTTTCTGAACTGACAGCAACAAGGTAGGTAACAGAATACCAAGGTAATGGAAATCAGTCAGGTATTCTGTTGAGTGTCAAGAATAAAAGAGATGCGATTGACCTCACAACATAAAGCTATCATGTTGTTAAATCTATTGCAGCTGTTATTTAATATTGGAATGTGACTGATTGTGGTCTGCTGCCATCTAGGGACAAGTAACATTTTTAAAGCCCAGATGGTTGTGACTGACATAAATGTGTTACTAAATTAAACTACATTTATTTGTGAAAATTGTCTTGAATTATTTAGACAAAGACAATGATCATCACTCAAAAAATTTAATGAGAAACAAAGAAACCCGCTGTTTAGTAGTTTGGTTGCCAATTGTATGTATTACCAAATGATTTTTGATCCGTTTAGATTTACATTTCCAAAGAGTGTAAGGAAATATAAATTTAGAGACAATTTAAAAAAAAGTAATGATTAGGTGTATTAGTCTGAAATGATGAACAAGTCCCACATATATTTTCTTTAGGCTGTATTGATAATATTAATGCATATAAAGAAAGTGATTTTCTGCCTTTAAACAGACACTACAAACACTGAATCAGTAAATATGCTTCTTTAAAATACCTTGATTCCAAATATAAAACACAAAAATGCAAGGAAACGCAAAATAATTATTTATTTAATCAAAAGAAGTCAGTATTTGAAATGATGCTAATATTAACAGATTTTTCATGCCTGGTGGACTGATTTAAATGCATTATTATAACGATTTTGAATACATCATACAGAGTTGAGCTTTTCATAGCAAGAGAGACTGACAAGGAATAATGCATTATTAAAATCTTACAGCAATGTGAGAGCCAAGATGGACCGGCGTGCTATTACTTTTATATCCTTTTTGTACCATGGCTACAACAAGAAAAATGACATGTCACTCCAGACAATATACCCAACCTCACAGTGCACACAATCTGTAGACACAATATCATTTTTTTTATTATTATTATTTTTATTACAAATGTAAAATGTAATACTTTTTGTTTAATTTTTAACAGCATTCATGAAACAGCAAACATGTTAAATATCATACATAAATATATAAAATTGATATATAATTATAGCAAATCATGTGACAACTTGGCCTTAATAAAATGTGGCAAATTGCTCTGATCTGACATTTATGAAAAATATCCTTGCCCTGAGAGCAAAGTTAAACATTTTGGTTGCAGATCCACCTTCACTATAGAGTCTGCTTTTCCATGAACGTGTGCTAATAGTAAGCTTGTGTTTTATTTTTATTTAAAATTTTATTTTATCATTTTTTTTTTCCTCAGGTAATTTCTTCCTTGCAGTTACGCTGTTTGCCTTTGAACGTCGCTGTATTACCGATCTTGGCGCTTTCGAACTCCCTTACATTGGCATTGTGGGTAAAGTAGTCCAGCGAATATTGCGACGCCTTGCAACGTATTCTTTTTAAATGGACAAAGAACTACAATTACAGTGAGGCGCGAGGAACAAGTTTAGTAACAGTGCCTTATCTTAAAGCAACAACCAAGGTTGAGAGAGGTTGGGGGCAGGTGATTGAAGAATTAATGGATGAGAGGAATTTGATCTGTCTGAATGATAGGGGAGGTACACGAATAGACATGAGAACAGGTCAAGAAGCGGTGTTAGATTTAACTCTAACAAAAAGTAGGTTGGGGGAATAATTAACTGGAAGGTATTAAGGAAATGTACTTATAGGCAGTGATCATTTTCCAATTTTGATTGAAATGTGTATGAATAATTGTGTAGAAAGAAATGAGAGAAGAGAAGGGAGATGTAAATATGAGAAAGCTAACTGGACTGAGTATGTGGAAATGGTGGAGGATGGTTTAGACATAAATGAAGATGACATAGAAGCTATAAGTGAGAAAATTATAGGGGTCATGAAAAATGCAGCAATAAGTAATATTCCTAAGAGTAAAGGAAGAAGACAAAAATGGTACCATGGTGGAATAAGGAGTGTGATGAAGCTATTAGAAGAAAAAGGAGAGCATATAAGAAAGTAAGAAGAATGCATAACTATCAAGATTTAATGGAATATAAGAGAGAACAAGCAAAAGTAAAAGAGGTGGTAAGAAGGGCAAAAAGGCTACATTGGAGAGATTTCTGTGACAGAATAGGGAAAAGTACATCAATAGAAGAGGTATGGAATATGATCAGAAGGATGAATGGAATAAGGAAGGAGATAGAATATCATGTTTTAAATGAAGGGGAAGTCATAGCAGTAGAAAACAGTGAGAAAGCAGAAATGTTTTGTAATACATTTATAAAAGTAAACGGTGCGGAAAATCTGACTGAAGAATTTAAGAGGGAAAGGGAGGAAATATTAAAAGAGCATCCTCATCTATTGGACAAAAGAGAGGAAAGAGATAATATAATGGATGTCCCATTTGGAATGATGGAACTAAAACGAGCGCGGAAGAGAATGAGAGAAACTACTCCTGGTCAAGATGAAATCAGCTATTATTTGATCAAGCAGTTAAGTGAGGAATCATTGAGAGTAATGTTAGAATTCTATAATAAAGTTTGGGAAATGGGGGTGCTACCACAAAGTTGGAAAGAGGCACTGGTATTGCCAATAAGGAAACCAGGGAAGGATCCAAGTAAGCCGGCTAATTATAGACCAATAGCCCTTACATCTCATGTAGGGAAAGTGATGGAGAGAATGATAAAGGACAGACTAGTTTATTTTTTGGAAAAAGAAGGAAAATTAGGGTAGGAAGAGGAACTATGGATCCGGTTATGTGTTCAGAAGCGGAAATAAAGAAGGCTCTATCAAATAAAGAATCAGTAACTGCCGTTTTTCGATATTGAAAAAGCCTATGACATGTTATGGAGAGAGGGTTTGATGATAAAATTGGAGGAGATGGGGGTAGGGGGAAGAATGTTTAATTGGATTAGTGACTTCCTTAAACAAAGAGTAATAAGGGTGAGAGTAGGAGACTATCATATCAAGGAGTAATAGAAAATGGCACTCCTCAGGGAAGTGTAATAAGTCCAGTGCTTTTTATAATAATGATAAATGATATGTTTAGTAAGGTGGATAGGAGTATTGGAAGACCACTGTTTGCAGATGATGGGGCTTTGTGGTTCAGAGGAAGAAACAATAAGTTCAATATGGGGAAAATGCAGAAGGCTGTGGATGAGGTAGTGAAATGGTCATACAAATGGGGATTTAAGTTTTCTGTGGAGAAGTCACAAACTTCTATATTTTCTAACAAGAAAGTAGACAGAGAATGGAAGTTAAGAATATATAACAAAGAAATGGCACGAGTAACATCAATTAGATTCCTAGGAATGTGGCTGGATACTAGACTTACATGGAAAGAACATATTGATAAGATAGTGAGTAAGTGTAAAAGAGTTTTAAATGTAATGAAATGTATGGCAGGACAAGAGTGGGGAGCAGATAGAGGGGCGCTTCAAACAGTTTACATAGCAATGATAAGATCTGTGCTAGAATATGGAAATATAGCATATGGGCTGGATGCAAAATCTCAGTCAGAGAAATTGGACAGAATTCAAGCGCAAGCATTGAGAATTTGCTGTGAGGCATATCCAACAACACCTATTGCAGCAATGCAAGTAGAGATAAATGAAATGGCGCTTTATATTAGAAGGCAACAGTTAATGGCTGTATATTGTACAAATCTTAAGAGTCAGGATGAGGTACATCCAACAAAGAAAATACTAGGAATATGTTGGGAACAAGGAATGAATAAACATAAGAGTTTTGGATGGGTTGTAGAAGAAGATATTAAGGAGATGGGGATAAACAATTATAGATGTGTACCAAGAGTAATGTATTCACATAACCCCTTATGGATTCTTCCTCAGCCAGTAGTAGATTTAACATTACTGAAGATAAGACAGAGAGAAGGAAGTAATGAGATGGAAGTAATGAGAGCAAAGGAGTAGTTAGGACTTATGTATGGAAATAATATACGGATATACACAGATGCCTCCA